CTCCACCATTATACTCTTACAATAGAATCAGGCGCACGCGGTACGTCGACAATGAGTGTGCAGAAAGCAAGGCAAGAAATTAATATTCTACTTTAAGGGGCACTATGCATTGTAGGAGGCAAGTCGGTACACATCACCAGGACAATACACGCCCATAGTACTCCTAAGTAAAATACGAGACTAAAGTAGGCAAAGTGCACTACGCCCCCTCATATAAACACTGTGACCAGAATTGTAGTCACGTATAAGTGCAAAGCCACTCCGAGGAAAGACTGCCATTTATGAATCGCAGGCTTTTTTTTATCGAAAGCCCTGTCATTGAAGACCAAACTGAGATCCCATTTCCAAATCTAGATATGTCGAAATGATACATCTTTATGTGTATGTGCCAACGAAGATATCTGAACTTACCTACTAGGGCATACCCCCTATCTTCAATAACGGCTTCTTTCTCCTTCTTGATCGCTAACTGTTGATATTGGGTAAAGTCACGAACAATGAGCCACAAACATATCAAGGATACTAAACAATAGCCGAAACCCAAATTTGAAATGTACTCTCTTACGTGAGGTCTGCAACTTGAGCAGTAATTGGAAAGTAGCCCAAAAGTGTTTTTTTTCATAAGCTTTTCAAAATTTAGTACATGTGCTGTCGCCGATAAATGGGACGACAACGAATTGTATTCTGGTTTTCTTCACAGCACATACCCACGTGATACTCTGTCAGTGCATTGACTGGTAACGATTGAACAGGTCCATGCAGGCATATGCAACTGTTCTATTTCTATGACACTTTCAAGAGCCATCAAACTAAATTTAGCAATATTTTTAATATGTAAAACCCACCATCGACGTTGGCAAGGAACAAACATTCAGCCCACCCATCGCCATAACACACACTTCAGCGAAATACCACAGCTTGCGTACCTTTTGTTCCTTGGTCATGGCTTTACGCTCTTCCGTTCTCTTCTCGAAGTTTTTGACCATCTTGGAGAAATCACTAAATCGAAGCGGAAAGTAGATATGTATGAGAAGAACTGAATTTCACAAGCCGAGTGGGTGCTGTCTACGCACTTTTCAGAATAGAGTCTTGAACTGGTGACTAAGAGTATCGAGGAAAACATACAAGACCAATAACGATGCAGTAAATTATGGGCCACAAGCTACTCGCCATGTACCACAACCACGCGTTGTATGCATACGTATGTATGTCGATATGCTTTCGTTTATGTATGCAATATACATGCATACTCGAACACACATACACACAATCTTACTAGACAATACAATAAAATACTATAGTATACTGTAATATACTATATATGAATATCTATACGCCTATATTTTTATATCTACTATATAAATATATATATATGTATATATGTATCTATCTATCTATCTATCTATCTATCTATCTATCTATCTATCTATCTATCTATCTATCTATCTATATTCATAC